TTTTGTAGCATGTAAGAAAGTTCTCATATCTACAAACACAGATTTTATTATACTAGACTTATGACTTTCTGTTGGATTAATTTCACTCTTAGTTATAATTTTAGAGAAATCAAGAGTACAAGAAATCCAATCTATGTAAGGATTATATTTTTCTAAGCATGATAAATCTAAAATGATTGAATTAGAGAGAGATATTATTATATTAAAGATTATGCAACTACTATGATCATTTATTACTTCATCTATAGAATGTATTTCATGAATAACATCTCCAAAAGACAATGGACAACCATCTATGACTTCTACATGAACAGGTTTAGTTTTTTGTATTAACCATATTTTATGATTTTTAACAAATTCTATATCTAAGAAATAAGCTCAGGCTCCTAAATCTATCAAGACGGAGGCTTTATAATTATTAGGTCCTAAATTCACATCTATTATAAAATAAAGAGAGGGTTCTAAAGAGAAGATAGGACCTTCATTAGAAATTGTACCAGATTGTAGCAACACAGTCCCTATTGTAACTAGACAAATTTATTTTTCAATAGATTGTCTTTTTTGACAGTTGTGCTTATCATTTTGTAGTTTTGTCACTTTTTTGGATAATGTTGAGTAGTGTGTTTAGATTCTCCATAATATAAGCACAATCCTTCTTGACGACAATGAGTCTTTTCTTACTCGGTAAGAAATTTGAAATGTACTGCATCAATTTGCATATCCTGTACTTCTAAATGTATGTGTTGAAGAAATGTTGATATTACCATAGAATTGTAGTAACGTTGAGGCCCACTTTTACAATTCTCAGATTAAAATTCAAAAAGTTGATTGTTGCACTTTATAGCAAAGTCAATTTGCTTGACTCAATATTTGAAGATCAGATAAGTTGAGCATTGATTTCTTTACTTCATATTGTAATCCATAGAAAAATTGGCTAATAAGTGTAGTATCATCTTACTTAATATTAGTTATAAGTTGTCAAGATTGTAAATCATATAATATTATAAATTGATTGTTTTGTCGTAAAATATAGATCTTGTTGGTTGCAGTACGAGTTGCATCATGTCCTCCATACATAGACCAAAATTCCACAAAAAATACCTCTAGATTATCCAATATTGGATCTCATTGTTTAAAAAAAGATAAAAAACATGATAGTGCTGTATTTGAAAGAAGTGTACCAATGAATCTAACTTGAGATCTTAGAATTGGATAGCTTTGAGGTTGAAGTTCAATCACAAGTTGTACTTGATTGATAAATCCTTGAAATTTGGATCTTCTACCATCAAACTTCTCTAGTAGAACAACTTTTGGTTCTTTAATACTTTAAGGATGTTCTATTATAGGTGGAGGGACATGATTTGGTGCAGATGTTGAAGCAGCTCTAATCATCTCTATATCTTCACTTCCTATCATTCTTGTTGATCTTTGTGGTAGTAAGCTAAGTTGATACATCGCAAGCATCAACTCCTTCAATTGCTCTTGCATTTGTGCCATTGTACTCTTCATTTCAACAAACTTTGCCATAATAATATTCAAAAAAACATCTAATATTATTCAAGAGAAGTACAAGAAAAGACTTGAAGACAAAGAAAATACTAAAAATAATATTAGTTTAGAAAAGGGTAAATTATAACTTCTAATAAGCTTATGTCTTATCATTAGAAAGAAATAATCCACTTTTAATCAAGACAAGAGAAAGCTTTGATATTCTAAGTATACTCTTGTCAATCTATCAAGGACATGAACTGAAAGATGATGTACAAACCAATGAAATTTAAGTCAAAAAAAAGTGACAAAATAGAAATAAAGAAATATGTATATTAAAAAGAAACTAAAATGGCTTACTGCCAAAAGACAAGAAAACTTGAAAATCTTGAAACTCGATTAGAAGCAAGAAAAGAGCTGACAAGAATGAAGAAGGCTTCACTTTTGTCTCTATGTATATTATCTAACTAGGTCCTATATGACAATATTCTATAGGACCTCCAATATATATTGACTTTGTAGAATACATGCCTTGACTTACAAGATAAGTTTTTCTATATGTTTGGGACATAGTTAGCTTATTCTTCAAGCTACCAATATGTATGACACATAGTTAACTTGTTGACCAAATTTCTGGTCTAAAAGTCAAGAATAGATACTTATAAAGTTAAAGTAGCATCTATGAAGCTTCTAGAAAGCTTTTTTAGAAGATATTATAGAATTAACTTACTTTTACTTACTTCTATTTATTTCTACCTATTTATATATGTAATTACTAGCTTACATGTGTATGTTTGTGACACCTTCAAGATGATGTAATAGAGATGTAGATCTTCAAAAACAACATGTTTATCTTCAAATAGATCTCAAGATATAATGTATTTGATATTATAACTTTAGAAGAGACTTTCAATATTTGGTGATTTTGTTAGAAGTAAAATTGACTATTGATGGTATTTCAAATGTTTTTTTTTAAGGGAGTTGTAAAGACTTCAACAATGATCAAATAATAGGATGGTCTTTTCACTCTAGTACAAGGCACTATCAATGGCTGAGAGGACCTATTAACCACCTTAAAAAAAACAAAGATTAGAATATGTAACAAATAAAATTTATTACATTTTGGACTTTTTTAACATAAGATGATTGTTCTTCGTCAAACTTGTCTTCAAAAAGAAAGATAATATCACGGATATATATATATTTATGTAAATAAGAAGTGTTAGATGGAAGATAAATATAAGTAGAATTGATATTAATTTGTAGCAAAGCTTCATATATGTGTATTTAACTTTATATATGTATATAGCTAATTGATAGATTGAAAATTTAGTCAATAGGTTAGTCAAATGAAAATATACAGATAGCTTATGATATAAGTTAATAATGTGGGGTACATATAGAAAACTTGCTTTGCAAGTTAAGACATATGTCTTGTAAATTAGACATGTCTTGGAGGTCTTATAGAACATCATTAAGTAGCTCTTAGTTAGATAGTATATATGGAAAAAAGAGTGAAGTCTTCTTCACTCTTGTCAATACATTTTTAGTCCTTAGTCTTCTTTCAAGACTTTTTAATCTTCTTATCTTTGGCAATAGTCATTCTAATTTAATATTATACCATCTTTGAGTGATTTTGTAGTATTTTTGAGTGATATAAGAATTTATTAAGCTTTTAATTCTTTGAAATTAATGACTTTGATAGTACCACATTGCCAACTTGTACTATAAATTGTTGACTTGTTAGTCAAGTTTTCAATCTATCAATCACCTACACACTTATATAAAATCAAATTTTCTTCTATAAAGCTTCTAAAAACTTTTCTATAGATATTATATAATTTACCTACTTTTACTTACTTCTATTTAACTCCACTTATCAAAATAAATACTAGTATCAATTATGTCTAGAAAAATTTTTAGTACTTGATATTTAAAATATTTTTACATGAATATCACTTTGCTTCAAATTTATAAATTTTTTAAAAAAATAAATAATTTTTTATTAACAATCATTTTTTTTATAATTATATACACTTTTGAGATAATACATAAAAATATATAAATAATATTAATAAATTAATTACAAAAAAATAACATTTGATTTTAATTACTTTTTAGAATTAATCTTGATTTTGATTGAAATTGATATGATATCATAAAGTAATAGCATATGATACTAAATGTTATATGAAACTTTAAAGAACTTATTTTAAAATAGAATACATAATAATTCTAATTCCAACACTAAACAATATGTACATACTTATTGTAAATATTTATTATTATTACATCATATAATATATTATATTTATATTTAATAGTCTCTTTTATGATAGATTTTCATATCAATTTGTTTTATTGTGATATATTATATAATTTAAATACAAGTGGATTATAAAGAAAAATTAGATATGTTTTTTTTATTTTATAGATAAAAATTTATTTGAAATGCTTTTATTTGATATTTAATACTAATTCTAAAAGATCTTATTACTATCACAATAAATATTTACAAAAAAATATATACATATATTAGAAATTAATACATTCATTTCTAAATTTATTTAGATTTTTCATCAATGATTTATTATAAGAATATTTTTATATGTTTATTCCATTTTCATGATTTTTATTTAAAAAGACAGTTAAGAAATCATAACTATAAGTTTATATTGAAATAATAATATTTTATTTCTATATAAGCATAATTTTTTTTTGTATATTATCTACAAGATGCATAATTTGTATAAAGAGTAAATTTATAGCAAATCACAATTTTTGTGGATATTTTAGGAACTGAATCATCTCTCTCTCTCTCTCTCTCTCTCTCTCTATATATATATATATATATTATCACATCATTACAAATTGTAAGAATGTTGTGTGTCAAAAATAATTTTTCCATATAAATAATTTCATATGAATTTTTATGGGAATGTCTTAAGAAACATTGTGTATTCTTTCAAATTACTAGAGCATTTCATGAAAATTTTATTAATACAATTAACTTTTATCTAATTAAAACACATAAGAATGCATTTTAATTAAATTAATTTTTTTCTCTCAATTTTTTAATTATTAAAAAAAATAATCACGTGGCCCATTTTCCTCATAGGAAATGAATTCTGGTTGGATAATTGCAAAAAATTTAATAACACATATCACTAATTTATCCTTTGCTATTTATGACAATTTCAAAAGTATTTAACAACCAATTTGAAAATCGAAACTGAATTTTAAAGAAAAAAATATGGCAACTAGGAATTAGCGATCCAAATGTCTAAATATTACAAAATCTCATGCTATATTCTAGAGGACACCAAACTGAAAGATAAAGAACAGAACTTATGTTATTATGTGAACTTCTTCATCTGACCAACCTATTACCTGGCTGCCTCCACATCTTTTCATCCAAAACAATTCATCAGTTCAGACGCATTTTCATCCACGGAGCTAAACCCTAACCCTAATCCGACGTAGCAATCGCTTTACTTTGTCCTGAAATTGGACAGTTCTTAGAATGCGTCGTCGCATGCGATTGTTGTCCTTCCGTGGCTGTGAGATTGCTAGAAGAATGGAGATAACTGCGTGAAGGATTGACATGGACAAGGTCTGGTTCCATAGAATGAGATGAGGTGAGGGGTCTGCTAGAACGATTATTGGGGAGCGTGGAAGCGATGTCGACGTCGTGGAAGCAGTGCTCCAAGTGGGCGCTGTGGATGTTGCAGTCGCAGGGGAGGGTGAAATGTTGCATTCCGTTGTATCGTATGGAAGTACTATCGAGATGGAGGTCGGCATGCGGAGTTTCGTTTATGAGGTTTACAAGTGGTGGTGTGCCGTCGGGGAATTTTGGTGTGAGGCCGGGATGGTTGGCTGAAGGTGGGCGTTTTCATCGCTATTCCAGTTTGGCAGCTGGTGAGGTTGAGGTGGATGTGGAGTTGGTTGAGGTAGATGCACCGGTGGAAGGCGAGGCGAGCGTTTCTGAGGTCGATCGCGAGGCAAGTCTTGGATTTTTGAAAATCCTGGGGCTGAAGGACGAGAAATTGACGCGTTTGGTGAGGAAATATCCTATGGTGATGTCTAGGAGCTTCAAGGATGGCATGTTGTCGCTGTTGCAAACTTTGAATGTGGTTGGGATTTCGGAGCAGTTAGCACCCCGAATTTTGGATAAAAACCCTCAATTAATTTTTCGAATTTTAGAGAGAAACGTTTACAGTGATAATTTGGCATACTTGAAGTCTTGTGGGTTGACCCCGAAGCAGCTTGAGCGGGTTGTGAGGATTTATCCTCAGTCTTTGGGAGCAAGCAAGCAGCTCCAGTTACAACCAACTGTAGAATTTCTTTTGAGTCTTGGAGTTACTGAAGTGAAGATTGGTAAAGTTGTTTCTTTGTCACCATATTATCTTGGTTACCGGCACGATATTAGTCTTCTGCCGAAGGTAACATTCCTCTTAAGTATTGGCGTGAAAAAAGAGAATCTAGGAAAGCTGATCATGGAGCAGCCTAGCATCCTTTGTTTAAGTATCGGTGAAAACATTATGCCCAAACTTAAGTATTTGGAATCTGTAGGCGTAGAGCGAGCCCGTTTAGGAGAGATGATATGCAGATATCCGGCGATGCTGACGTCTAATTTAGACACATTGAAGCTTAAGGTAGACTTTTTTGGAAGCAAAGGGCTAGTTGGGAAGAATCTCGTCAACCTCCTTACTCTACATCCAGATCTCCTAGGGAGGTCTTTGGACTCTTTGAATTCAGGCTTTGTGAACGTGCAGAAAATCGGGTTCACTCAGGACGAAGTATGCTCGATTTTGAAGATGCATCCTACAGTTCTTAGTAGTACTGAGACTCATCTACGGAAGAAATTCGACTTCCTAACCACTGTTATGAACCGGTCCCTGAAAGAGGTTTTAACGTTTACGGCATTTGTGACCTACAGTCTTGAAAGGAGGATCAAACCTCGGCATCGGGTGTTCACTTGGCTACTTGCGGAAGGATTGTTACCACAGAAGAATTACTCTCTTCGAACAATTATCGGTGGATCAGAGGAGTATTTCAGAGATAGATACTTGGGGTTGCATCCTTTGGCAGAGGCCATGTACAAGGAACCATCAGAGGTGAAGGCGAAATGAAGGAAATTGATGGGTTTAGGCATGCAGTAAGATTTTATAGGATTTTAAGAATTCGGCGTGAGAATGGGGAAGATAATGCATGATTAGAGGTCTGGAAACTTGGCGATAAGACAGCTACTACTGTAAAAATCACGTGAACGTGAAGGCTGATTTGATACCATGGACGATTCAGATGGTTTTATTTGCAGCTAGTCTCGCCAAGGTTTGTTACACTTCCTCATTATTTTATTTCCAGAGGACATCAATTGTCTTTTTGTGTTTTCTGACATAATCTTTAAAATATGTTTGAAGTGTCTTGCAATCACCATAATGAAGCAAAACTATGTACATGCTGTATTCCACAAGATTTAATTCAGTCGTAGAGGGACCTTTTGTAGTTTGGTGGAGAGTGGATAGAGTATACATTGTGCTCAAGCTACATTTTTATGTGCTTTGAAGGAAGTTCAGTTTAAGGTCTCGTTATTAGGGATTGAGTAGTACTCCCTGATTGAATGTTGCAGGTCCGCTATTATAACAATGCACTGGACTTTTGGAGGAAGGAATACATCTGCATTATTGTTGTTCACTTGTCTAATCTTTATCAAGAATATCACAAATGGAACCCAAGTGTGCATGTATCCCCTACTCATTACATGCTTGGTTATTTTATTTCATTTATTTTTTCTTTGGCTGCAGAAGTAACCAAGTCAAATGGAAGGACCAGGAATAGCGCCAAGTTGATTTCCTGAACCAGGTATACAACCGCTAGGAAGACACTGTTGCAAAGGACACGGGAACTGCCATTACGAAAGGAGTTTAGTGTGGAATACAGAAATCCGAATTCCGCTACAACGGTTGCATTTGGGGTGTGAAGAATTGCCAGCTTCTGTCCTTAGCAACAAGGGTCAATGGGTTTCCAAATACTGGTTACTGCGCACAAAGGATACATGGTTCATAATTAGTTCGGACGTTATTAAGGAAACGAAGAGACACTTGGAATACGGCGATGAATTCTAATGATACGAGATAGCTTCTAGTTTTGTAGAAGTTCAGAGGCTTGACAGCAACCTGATATTAGTTTTTTTTTACCATGGAAATATAACCTCTGTAAGCTGCTCTACTTTTCTCAACACAACCACCATCATACGTGTTGAAAGCCGAATGTACTACATTCAAAGACTTGTTTACGTTGCTGCATTTCACTCAACCAATCAACAATTGATCACTAAAAGCGTTTTGTTTGATCACTTAAGCAGTTAAAGTTTTCAAGGATGGCTGAGTAGAGATTTACATTAGGGTATCCAGTAAGCTATCTTTGATGCACTATTTTGTTCCTTTTGGAGAAGTTAATGACAACTTGTACTGCACCACAATTCTTCATGCGACCATTGGTAAAAAAATGAATTCTACTTGTGCTGATTCCTACATACTTGAGTTCATGTTCGAACAGCTCATAGTTTGTAAAATAGAGTTTCAGTTTAAAGATGAGTTGAAAAGGACTCTTGTTCTTGAGCAAATGTTTTTATAGTTTTCAATTAAATACTGTAACAATGCAAGGTTGAGTTGAAAGAAAGGGCTTTATTTTTAGCTGTAATTCTGTTGTAGGCATGGAGGGACTATTCTCAAATTTTAAGAGAGAAGTAGATATTTATTTATATAAATAGTTTTCACTCATTTAATTTAGTGGTTTAAAGGTGATGAGATAAATAAGATTGAATCTAAGATGTTTTATTCCAAAATATCATAATAGATATTATAAACATAAGAAAGTACTATGGGCCATTTTTTTTATACTTAGATTCAAATCCAAGAACTTGTTTACAGCAAGGCTCACAATTATTAGTTATACAATAGTTTCTAACTTCTGTAGTCCTTTAAAATTTTAAAATAAATATACTAAAAAGAATTTTGTTCAAATGCCACTTTGTAAATTATAATCCATGGGATGTGAATTTGGAGGTTCTTGTGCCCAAGCGGGGTATAAAATTAGACTAAAACTTTTCAAAATGTAGAATTTGGTAACTTAGCTTCCACTTTATTCTTTTGTATTGTACTGAATATGGCTTGATTATATGCCAATTTTTTTTTATTTTTTTGTAAGTGCACTTAAGTTTATTTTATTAGATATAATTTCTTTAATTATCAATTGATAGAGGTAAATTTGAAATTATTAAATTTTGAATCAATCAAATAAAAAAGACAATAAATTATCATGTATTAATTGTAAAGATAAAATTTAAAAAATAGTGATAACTAAAAAATAATCTACATAAGTAAAAAAAATTGATAAAAAATTAAAATTAAAATTAAAATAAAAAATTCTATAATATTGAAAGAAATAAGGGAAATTTATTAATATTTATTAAAAAGAATTGTTTAATCTCTTTGTTTCTTTTCATCCAATTCTTCTTGTCTTGTAAGAAATGTAATTCTAAGGCACTTCAGATTTAAAAATCTTGTAAAACACTGGTTTGTAAATTTTAAAAACTATTACTTCAGGTTGAGTAACTAAAATTATTATAATTATACATCTCTTTTTTCTTTAATTTTTTTGAAAGAAATCATTCTAGCTCTTAATTTAGTTAGACTTATTTCTTATAACTTACAAAAAAGATCCTTTGTAATAAAAATAATTCTAAAATATTTAAATTAATAAGAAACTAATAGAAAGAAATTAGTTGAATTTTTGGAACCACTAATTTAAAAAAAATTCTTCAGTTTAAGAATTGTGCCTTGATTGTTTTTACTATTTTGGTAGGATAGAGGCTTTAAAATTAAGATAATAAAACTGAAAATGTAATGAAATGTAATAAAATTAAATAAAATTTAAAGGATTTAACCAAAAAAAAAATTACACGGAAAAAATATGATACAAAACTTAAATAGCAATATTTTAGCCTAACATAGACCTTACAAATTACTATATTTCTACTAATTTAATTCTAATTTAATAATTTAACAAAAATGCCCAAAATTTCTATTAATTTTTTCACCTAACAGTCTTGGAGTTGACCTTTGCCCCCACTCTTCACATATTAATCTAAGGCCGTGGACTAGCTCCGTATGTGTAATAAAAAATGAAAAAATTAATCATCAGCACAGTATGAACTGGCGATTGAGTTCCAAGACTTCCTGACATAACTAAACATTGTAGAGTTCTGCGAAAGTCGACAAAGTAACCAAAATCAGTAGTGGTCTGTTTCAGTGGGTAAATCACCAAAATTATACACACATTCTCACAACGTCATCACACACAATGTGTCTACTCCAAGACCATTGCAGTATCGTGGAGATAGATGTAGAGTTGGAGGTGTGGGAGCCACTATTATTTGGACTCCAGAAGCAAGCATACAAGCGTTGATATGAGAGTGTGAAGTTTTGGAGGAGATTGACGTCTGGTTTCGGGTCATACCAACTGGTGTTAACATCCCGATGGACTGGCTTCGGGCAGTGCCGGCGGTGCTGTTCTGCATGGTATATATTCCTGGAGTGCGGAGCGTGGTTGACACTACAACTGGTATATTGTGCTGTGTCGGTGGACTGGAGAGCTCCAAAATGTTGGTGTCATTTTCTTTTTGTTTGTTTCATGCAATCGCTTAAAGAAATTTGAACTTTCTTAAATGAGGTGAAATTCAAGACTGGGGATAGGATCAAGACATTGTTTTGCCTTGTGAAAGATTCCAGTGGTACTACACCCTTCATCTCTAATATTGCACTCCGTGCTATTGATATATCGATGGATCTGAGTTTATATTAAACTGGTTGGATAATAACCAAACAATGACGACCCAGACCCGATTCTATCATGGGGGCTCGCAACTTGACAGGGTATCATAACGTAAGTTTTGATCTAACTCTGTGGATTTGCTATTGGTGAAAGAATCCGAATCTTGGCCTAAAGTCTCAGTTCCTCGCTCTTCAATACGCTTTTTGTGAGGATCGCATTCCAGGTGCCTAGCAGATCCCTACGATCGATAATGGTATCCATCTATCAATGGATTTGAGGAAAATCATTATCCAATGGGGAGTGCCAATAAATTGTCATGTTTTTCATTACCTAAAGGTCTGCAAGCAACAAGTGATGTGACATCTGACACATCTTCGGCACCACCTTATTTGGATACTACTACACCTAGAAAGTGTGGTATTGCATAATGGAATGACAACTAGCGGAAACCTCACCATTGACTTAGACTCAAGTGTACCATTTAAAGCGTATATACAATATTACTTTGTGGGAATTGACTTGACAGCCGACAGCAATGATTGAAGCTTCTACCTACTTGCACTTGGCCATGGAGATAAACCATTCCTGGATAATACGAGACTTTCTGTGGATGCGCCATTGAAGCTGTATTATATTTGTCTCAATCAAACCCATATCGGCCCTAGGTCAAAGATTCACATGTATCTCGATCCGTCCGGAACCTCGATATACGGGCCAATGTTGACAGCACTGGAGATCTATAAAATTTGTTATCCACTGATTTCACCCGCTAATGATCGAGACTAGGCGACAATTGAGACTGTCAAGGTGGACATGAATTTGACAAGTTGGCGAGGCCACCCTCACGAATAGATCACATGCAGCCAAGTGCACCCAACGAGAAATTCCGCCGTTCTCACAGTGAAAGACTTATGCTTTCATTGTTTTTCTGAGGTTTTTTATTTGTGCTTCACACTAATCCAATTATGCACATTATGAGCCATTACATTCCTGACGTGCTTCTTATAGTCAATCGATCTTTCCAGAGTGCTCTTTGAGCAAAAGTTGACAGGAGGGATCTCACCCCTCTTCATCAGCTTTTGGAAGCTGACCACCTTGTAAGTGTGCATACGTTTTCAGCTCCCTCCCCCACCCAATTGAACACCCTCAAATGTTGACCAATTGTGTCGCACCATTCCATGCTCTTTGGGTAGGGACGTTCATTCTATGTACATGAAACTTGATGATAACTCTCTGATTTGAGTGCCTTGACGAATTTGGAAAAGCTGGGAGTACATCAAACACACCAAAATTTTGGACCATTAGAGTTTTTTACAATATTCAAACTAAGATTTGGTTGACCTTTTCTATAAAACTATTTGTTTGAGGATGATAAAGAATGATCTTTTTATGATTAATGGTAAATAGTGTAGTCATTATTTTAACAACCTCATTTAAAAAATAAATTCCATTATCATTTATAAGAAGTTTTAAACAACTAAAGCAAGCTATGATAATTTCATACAAATATACAATAATTTGTTTAGCATCAATAATCTAGATTGATTTTATTTTTTCCCATTTGGTCAAATATTCTATAGCTACAATGATATAATGTATTCCTTATGAAGATTTAAGATAAATATTTTTAATATATCTATATGCTAATTATCAAATAGAATAAGTAGAAGTAAAAGATTTAAATCATTGTGTATATATCATTAGCAAACATCACAATATTTTATAAAAGACTTTGAATTGAAAAATATTTTAGACCAAAAATAGATTATCATAAGAACTTTTTGAGCTATTAATTAACCAAAGTAGTAGCTACCATAAGTGCTTGAGTAACAAGCTTTTAGAACAAGTTATACCTCTTTATGTGTAAGACAAAGTCTTAATATATCATCAATTCTCCAACAATATAATTTTTTGGCTATAAAAAAAATGACACTATTTATTATAATCTCATATTGTTAATTCTTTGATAAAACATTCAATAATTGTTGAATATTAGAAATAATTGTAATATTTTCATACCATGCAAGTATTACCATAACATAGAATAAATATACATTAGAAAGTTTATTCTCTATATTTTATATACTCATGGTTGTGGATAATTATAAAAAATAATTGGTTAACATGCATTATTATTTTTTATTTATTTTACATTATACCAAATTTTACTAAAAGTAATATCCAACTTCCTAATCTACCTCTTTAATAATTTTTTTTTCAAATATATATGTAAAAGCTATGTGATCCACAAAGAAGATGACTTGTTTACAAAAAGATAACAACAAGTTTTTTTGATAAAAACATCACAGCTAAATATTTCCATATTATATTTGTATAGTTGCATTTAGCGCTTCTTAATAAATTATTAGCAAAATTTATAGGATGGATCACACTCTTATCATTTGGTTGATATAATGCCCTACTTATTGCCAATTCAAAGGCACTATAATAGATATAGAAATATTGATGGCAATAAGGTGATTAAAAATATATATATATATATATATATATATATATATAATAGTATATTTTTTTTAATTTTATCAAATCTAACTTGACATTTAGAAGTTCATTCAAATTTGGTGGTCTTCTTTAAAAAATTAATCAATAATGTGGCATAAATTATGTACGACTCAATCAAATCTAGGTACCAACTCATTTGTCTCAAAATCTTTTAAAGTTCTTTTATTCTATTTAGAGATGGTAGCTATACAATAACCTCTACCTTCTTAAGATTATGTTCAATTCTCTTTGATGAAAAAATATACACTAGTAAAACTCCTTTCTTAACTATTAAGTAAAGCTTATTTGAATTGAAAAAAAAAAAATCTACTTTCTTATAATGTTGGAGGTAAAATTAAAAGAGTCTAAGATTATCAATTTTTGATGATTAACAACAAAAGTCAATTAAAAGATTTTATTTCAAATAGAAGAATTCAATTTGTACCTAATTTAAAAAAAATTAAGATATTAAATATAGATATAACACTATTTTTGACCTACTATCTTCAAATTGATGGATAAATAGAGTAAGTCATAAAGTATTGGAGTAATATTTATAATATATCATCAACTATTATTAAGTAATTGAATAATTTTTTTATCATTATAAGAATTTTTTTATAATAGTATTACATTCTCTTCTACTCAATAATTACCATTCTATACTAAATATGGCTATCATCCATAGTATAATACTTTTGATTTTTTAAAAGTTAAAAATCATTTTTAAAAAAAAATTGGAAAATTATTTATTAAAATTACTGTCAACAAAGAAGGTATAGTTAAAGAAAGCTTGAGAACAAAAAAAAAGATCAATACAAATGTTCATTAAAAGGAGCAACTTCAATTCTAAGTTGGTGACAAGATGTGATTATTTTGTTGTAAAATTAAAAATGATTGTTCTTAGTATAAATTAGATTGTTGCAGACTTAGACTATGTCCTATGAGTAAATACATCAATCCAATTGAATATTGATTATATCTACTAGAATCAATAAAATTCCGAGTAAATATTAAAATTTGTAAAATTACTAAATGATATATATATATATATTATTTTATTAATTATTAAAGATTCACCAAAATCAAATAAAATAATATTTTCTTTTTTTAGAATATTTATCTTAAATAATATAAAATTTCAATATCTTTTGTAATTCTTTGCTATAATTTTATAATTTCTGTAAAGATCTTCATTTATAAATTCTAGAAAATTGGTATTAATATCAACAAGCGTTGTTTTTAAAAGTAAAACCAATTTTTATTTCTATTTAAAACCAGAATTTCCACCCAAAAATTTGCAAAATCTTCAAAGTCACTACTAACATAACCGCATTCTCAAGAGTTATAATTAAATTTAATAACTTGATTTAAAAAAAAAAAAAAAAAAAAAAAAAAAGCCCTGAAGATCTTCTGGCTGAGCTTTCTAAGATTTTATGCATAAAGTTTCAAAACCACAAAAATAAAAAATAGACCACTCCTCCAAAAAGGCAAGATTGATAAGGTTTGCTACGTACTCTTTTCACCCTGTCATCAATCCTTTTTTTTCCATCTATCATTTCCAATATTTGCTATCACTTGATTCCTAACAGCAACAGTTTAGTTAAATAGGTAACAACCAGCAAAATAAAGCAAATCAATTAGAAATGGACCTTCCTTGCTAGCAAACTGTTCTCATTACTTGTCCCAGAAAGAAACAGACTACTGCACAGCAAATACTTATTCAAAATGAACAACTTTCAGTTCAAATTGGTCTGTACAATAGTTGTGTCTGCCTGAGCTGTAGGTGCCTTGGCACTTGTCGCCGCAGCTGCCGGCACCACAACGGTGCTTGGATCAGTCCAACGCAGCTTTACTCTGCGGCGGGTGCCCACGTTATAAGGAAGATGAACCTTTCCGGACGTCAGTGTTCGTGCCGCCGCTGGAAGAGATGTCGCTCAAGGGTGCCGTATCGAAATCATTGACATCGACGCTGAAGTCGTCTCCAATTGGATGTGGCCCGACCAAGGCCAGCCCCAATCCACGAAGCCTGTGCACAACTTGACGCATGAACGGCCTCTGCGCACTGTTCCTACGGGTGCACCACAACGCGAGCTCCACCAACTCTGTCAGCTCATCCCTGTCGATGTCGCCTCCCAAATTTGGATCCACCAAGTCATCCAACTGTTCCAATCTCCAAGCTTCCGCAACCTGCCCATCCATGCCGACATGCATCGATCATGGTCACCCTCCCTATCGGTATTTGCAGTGCGGGTGTGCGTGGTTCTAGTCTATCTAGCCTAAACAACCACATCACGCCTAATCGTCCAGGGACACATCTTACCGTCATCGCGAGATGCATTTGATGTCTTCCTGTCAGAATCTCCATCAGCACGATTCCAAACGCGTACACGTCACTCTTCTCCGTCAGTAGGCCTGATTCGTGGTATCTGCAATACATTTGTGGCCCATCTGTATATCAGCGGCAATGACAGTGCACACCCAACGATCGATCAAGCTAAACGGCTTGACGGTTGTGCGTTCCAGGAAGAACGCTGTTGCAAGAGTACGACAAGAGCCACGGGCGTTACTGAGAAGGGTACTGAGCATCGCGCAACTGGTGGGAGACGAGTTTCACAAGGCTTACTCGGGATCAAGATATCCTGGGGTCCCCTTCACGACCGTCGTGATATGCGTCACATCTTCGTGCCCAATGGTCTTAAGTTTCGAGAGCCCGAAATCCGCCACTTTGGCATCAAGCTTGTTTGTGAGCAGAATGTTGGTGCTTTTCACGTCGCGGTGGATGATCGGCGGAGAGCACTTGTCATGCAGATACTCCAATCCTGCGTCAGACCACGAGCACAAGATAGCGTGTCATTGGAACCACGGATGAAATTTTAGCTCAAACATGGTCAGTCAGGGCTCTCTCAAATTACACATCCTAGCAAATGAGTGCGGGATGCAAACGCCAATACCATCTGCAATTTGAAGGCTGATGCTTGTTCTCTGGCGCCAGCTCAAAGGATTTGCAGCAGCACTATCCCCTACAGATCATCAAGTGGAAGCCATCATTTCAGCTATGTATCGGTGGCAGAAAGTTTTCTCGCAACAGGACTAGGAAGTTCGCTCTAATGGTTAAGATCCTGTGGGGTTGCAAATGGATGCTATGTGCGCGCACCTCGCAGTCTGCAGCGCAGGTCTCCTCCACCCATGTACTCGTAAATCAGTATCTGCTGCTTTCGTGTGCAGCTGTACGCGAGGAGCGAAACCAGGTACTTGTGATGCACCATGGACAATAGCTCAACCTGCACGCCCACTTATTCACCCATGCTCTGAATCTATTCAGGAAAAGAATACGCTCGGACACCTTCGAAGTGCTAAGGATTCGGGAACTTGCTAGAGAGGCCATGGTCTGATCATCGAGCCCATGTGACCGGTACAATGCAGACGAATTTGGGAACGTGAGCACCGACCTCATTGTAGAACTCATCCTTGCTTTGACTGGAGTTCGTCGCCAAAACTTTAGCCGCAACCTCTTGGCCATCAGGCAGCTTGCCGTAGAACACATCACCAAAACCACCACTCCCGATCACGTTTGCAAAATTGTTTGTCGCTTGTTTGATCTTAGCCAGCGACAATGATCGAGATATTCCGCCGTTGCTCTCCAAACGCCGCTGGAAGTCTCTGTCGGCAGGATCGATGAAATCTGGTGGGACATGTATGGCAGCAATCCTGTCAAGTTCCAGATTCTCTACGACCAAACCTATCTAACATCGTGTTCAGCAGATGCTTCGGATCGACGACGAGAAAGAGCTTGAGAGTGAGAAGACATGCTTACTTGCCCTTCTACGGTAGTACAGCCCGACGGCTCCGATGGCGAGAACAAAAGCTCCAATCACCACGCCAACAATGATCCGTACACTGGCCTTGGTTGGGGCAGGAGAGCCATTAGGGTCATGGCTTGTAGCTTCGTCGTTGTTTGTCCATAGGATAATATTCCTGTTCGTAATGTCCCTCACGCTGATGCTTCCATCTTCTACGTTCAAATGCAGAACCCAATCGGAATCTTTGTTATCGTCTCCTGCCTCAACGCTACTATTCCAGTAAACATGACCTGAACCCTCATCACGGATCACAAGGAGACCATTCTGCTGCAGATAGAGCTGACACTTTTGTCCGACTTGTTGCCTCGTCCCCCCTTCCCAGAGAAGCTTGTCAGAGTCTGTTTCCCTGGATTGCAAAATGCAGTTGTTTGTTAAGGTGAGTACAAACCTGCCATCGGGTGTTTTCAAACTAGAGTTATAGGATATAAAATATTCTGCGGGCATGAATGAGTGATTATCTAGAGATGTATTCGGCTTCCATGCCATGTTGGGATCTAAGGATGCATCCATTGAATTGGATTCAACCGTTTCTACTAATTCCCAGGTGGAAGAGCTATATTGTGGGGTACGTGAATTGTAACGGGCTATGTGGACAGAGCGATCTCTACTCAGCCGTAGATAGACGGGTCTTTCCAGATTTGAGGTTAGGATCGGGGTTTGAGAGGCCCACACTGGGACTCCGATGTCAGTGCGGACAGAGGTGTAGTTGTAATCCTTGTAGATCACAAGGTTTCCATCTGATTGAAAAAGAAGGACACAATTTTGTAACCTCGTGACCGTAATATTGGTGCTGAGGACATGCGTTCGGTTTCTTAACTCAAGATTGCAGTCTACCATGAACACTAGATAAACATCGGAAACATTGAGATACTGCGAGGGTGTAAGCACCGGCACATCGGAGCTCAACAGAATACCCACTGCAAGTCCTCCTAGAATCCACGATGCAGTGCTAGCTGTTAAAAGCAGTAGAACAAAAGTTACCAACTTCCTCATCGTGTCAAGATGGACCTTCGACTGGGTATTACAACCATGATTCAAAACACACCGACTACAAGACCTTGAGAAGACAGGGCTCAAGGACGTCAAAGTTTCTCTCTGTATCCGGAGCACTTGAAGTAGTATGCTATGCAAGGACGAGTTTAAATTCGAAGCTACGTCGTGCTACCGCAGTGGGAAATTTAAAGCTGGTAGGATCAAGGTATTAGTGTTGCTCACGACTAAGAAACGAGAAGCTCGAAGGTGGAAAGACAGAACTCTCACACAAGATTCAGACACAAAACCGCTGAAAAGAATCGTTTCACGACTCCTTCCAAAGGCATACTCTTCGGATTCTTCATTTTGACTTGGTTATGGCATCAATAGCTTCAGCGAGTTTTATATTATTGAAGGGGCGATGTTGAGAAAGATTGATGAGCCTCTTTGACATATTTGAATGCTGTTTGCCAGGAACAGTGACGTACTTTTATCTAGTGGATGAAGTCATCGGTCGAATTAGACAGTACATGACACTGGCACGGAACTTATATACTAGTTTTTAAATTCTCCTACCATATAGTCTAAAAGCTAATCATTTGCACGCTCTGGAGGTTATATATTTTTTTTCACTATCGATCACCATCCAAAATGTCCAAGTTCAATTGAACAGGCTTGCTCAGTGTTGAGAATGTTTAGAAAGACACAAGAGTAATAGTAAGTCATACACACACAAAAGTAGTAGTAAGTCATATACACAAGAGGGTTTCTAAGGAGAGAGAGATTCACACATAAAAATCTGTTGATTTGGGTGTGTCTCGTATATAAGAAGAGAAAAAGAAGAGAGGATAAACAATACTTCTCCACTAGACTCTAAATACTGTAGCTACAATATTTACTGTATTCTATAGTAAATATTGTGGAGAGCGCCGGCTACATTTAATGATCTCAACACTCCTCCTTGCTCATCATACTATTTACATAATATAAAATTTGTATAGAATTATGATCTATACTTTTTTGTGATCTTGCAAGATCAACAATTAATGCCTCATTAAAACCTTATTTAGGAAAATCTTATTTTATTTAAGGACGAAACCATAGATGAAGGAAAAAGAGTACAATATTATTTTCTTTAATTATGTAAAGAGCTCATTAACTTTCTATTCAAGAAAAATAAGTCGCCGCATACCAATGCCATAAGTAAGTCGACAATGGTTGCTTAATGGAAGAGCTTTGATGAAGAGATCAGCAAGGTTATTTGTAGATTCAATTTTCTTAATTATAAGTGCTTGATCAATAATCAAGTCATGGATATAAATAAAATACTTTGGATCAATATGCTTTGTTCTGTTGCCTTTAATGAAACCAACTTACATCTGTGCAATACAAGCACTATTATCTTCATGTAAGATAGTTGGAAAATCATCATATGAAAATCCACAAGTTGTTTGAATGAATTTGTCAATTGATCGCAACCAAATACATTCTCGAGATGCTTCATGTAAGGCAATAATTTTTGCATAGTTGGATGAAGTTGTAATTATTATTTGTTTCACTAATTTCCATGATATTGCAACTCCATATCTTAAAAATACATATCCTATTTGAGATTTAGCTATTGCAATATCAGATTTATATCATGTATCACAATATCCAATCAATTTTGGATCTGTGGATTGTGTGTAGTATAATCCCAAGTCTTTAGTACTTTTTAAATAATGTAATAAAGGTTTGATGCCATTCCAATGTCATAGTGTTGGACGTGCACTATGTCTTACAAGAACACTAATTGCAAATGCAATATCTTGTCTTGTAGATGTAGCTAAATACAAAAGTGTTCCAACCGCTGCGAGATATGGATATTGATCTCCCAATATTTCCTCCTCCTCCTCGCATGGACGGTATGGATCATGACCATCACGACCACGACCAACCATTGGTGTGGACAATGGATAAGCATCAATCATATTAAATCTTTGCAAGATTCTTCTAATATACTCTAATTGATAGAAAAAAATGCTACCATCTGTTACATGCATAATCTAAAGACCAATGCAGAAAGTTATTTTTCTTAGAATTTTCATATCAAATTTACGTATAAATAGGTTAGTAATTATAATACATGCAGATGTAGTGTCCCTTAGGTTAAGATCATCAACATATACATCAATGATCACAAAACCAATTTTATCTCGTTTCATAAACAAACAAGGGATTAGTAGATAACTTATAAAATTATTTGTAATTAAATAATCTTGAAGATGTTGATACCACACATGTTTATTATCCTAGAGCGGGTCGATTTGAAGTTCCTGTTTCTAAGCCAGGTGGAACTTTCAAATAAATATTTGCATCAAGAAAACCGTATAGATATGTAGTTACTACATCCATCAGATGCATTTCCACAGTAGCATGAACTGTCATTCCAATAATATATCCAAATGTAATTGAATCCATGATTGGAGAATATGTGGATTCATAATCAATGCCAAATTGTTGAATAAATCCTTGAGCAACAAGACGAGCTTTATAGTGGGTTATTTGACCTTAAGCATCTCGTTTGTATATTAATACCATCTTATATTCCACAGGAAAAGATATAAGAATGTCTACAATTGGCCCAAAGACTTTCTTCTTATGCAAAGAATCATACTCCTCCTCAATAGCAATTTTCTATTTTGACCAATCAGAGCGATGCATCGCCTCCTCGATGGTTTGAGGTTCACGATCGTCTTCCTCTCAAGAAAGGACTTCTATAATCACATATGCAAATGATTCATCTATCGTAATAGATGGTCTGTCCCAAATATCATCTGTAGCACAATATAGAATAGATAATTCTTTACTCAACTTGTTCTTATTCCTTCCAATTCCAAGATTGTTTTTCATAGAAATTGAAAGTACATTATGAATGAATATATCATCATGAATTGATAGTCCTGCAAGATATGTGGCGATTTCTTGAGAAATAATACCAAGATTAGTCAATTTTATAGCTTTCTTCTTACGTACTTGCTTATATGGTCGATGAGTTCTATTAGTTGTTGTTGTTATAACTTGAGGTATTGTAATTAATGGCACTACAATCTGAACACGTGCATTTTGAGCCTCATTAATAGGAAATCTTGTAATTCTAGGTGCATCATTGAAACCATCAGGTGTTTCATCTACGATCCGTTTTAGATGCAAAATCTTAGTAACTTCAGTTTCTGCCAAAGATGTTCTAGCATCGGGATTCATTGTAAATGTTTCTGGTGCTTCAAATATGAATACTTTATTTCTTTGTTGATTGGATATTCTTCCTTGAAGAGATGGAAATACATTTTCTTCAAAACGACAATTTTGTAAATGTGCACGTAATAATGTGCGACTTGATGGATCAACAATACAAATAATGCTTGGTGAATCAAAACCAACATATATGCCTTCTTGTCGATAACCTCCAATGGTATGCCGTTGAGGTTCTGGTATTGGAATCCAAGCAGAGCAATCAAATACTTGAAAGTGAGATACATTTGACATATAAATCGAAATGAGCTCATGTGGTGAAACAATTTCAAAAGAAGAAGGGTGGAGGCGTAGTAATGCTGCAGCATGTAAAACTGCATGACCCCACATAGATGCAGGTAGATTTGCATGAAGGAGGAGTGGCTGGGCAATGAGTTTTATACACTTTATGAATGACTCTGTAAGTCTACTTTGAGCATGTTCATATGGAATACAATATGTTAATTCAATTCCTATTGCAGTACAATAGTCTTCAAAAGACTTTGATGTAAATTCTTTTGCATTATCTATACGCAATGTTTTTATAGGATAATTAAGAAAATATGTCCAAAAATAAATAAGCATAGATATAAGATTGATAAACACCATGTTTCGAGTTGATAATAATGAAACATGTGATTATTTACCTAATGTATCAACAAGGACAGAAAAATAACGAAATAGTCCTGATATTGGATTAATAGGACCACAAATATCACCATGCAATCTTTCAAGCATTGGTGGTAATTCTTGTGGAAGTTTTCGTATTAAAGGCGAAATAATCATTTTACCTTGCACGCATGTACGACATAATTTCATAGAGTCTACATCCGCAGGCTTTAAATTATGTCGAATTATACATTGAAAGATCTTTCTAAATAATGTGGATCTTGAATGTTCGAATTGTCTATGCTAGAGAGAAATACGATTCTCTGTGTTAGATGATGAAAAACTAAATATAATGGGAGGTCGAATCACAGTTTGGTATAAACCATTTTTTGTAGCAAAAGCTTTTTATACAACTTTATGATTCTTTGCATGAATCAAAACCTCTTTTCTATTTAAAGTAGCAGTCGCGAGGTGATAACCATTAATACATCTTGGTAGCTGATCAGACTCCAAGGTGCTATCAAGGACAAGAACTCAATGAAAAAGCAATTCAGACAAGTGAACCTTCACTCAAAGAAAGGTAACAAAATATAAATAAACAAGTATGTATATTGAAAGAGATACTGGAATGGCTATTGTCAAAAGATAAGAAAATTAGAGACCCTTGAAACTAGACTGGAAGCAAGAAAGGAGTTGACAAGAGTGAAGAAGGCTTCACTCTTGTCTCTATATATACTATTTAACTAGGGGCTACGTGTCAATGTTCTATAGGACCTCCAATATGTGTTGACTTTATAGGACACATGCCTTGACTTACAAGGCAATTTTTTCTACGTAAAGGCCACATAATTAGCTTGATCTTCAAGCTAACAATATGTGTGGCACATGGCCAACTTGTTGACCACGTTTCTAATCCAAAAAGTCAATTAAAGCTACCTATGAAGTCAAAGCAGTGTCTATGAAGCTTCTATATTAAATACTATAGAATTAACTTATTTTTATCTACTTTTACTTACTTCCACCTATTTGTATATATAATTACTAGCATACATGAGTATGTCCATGACATTACTCTCCTTTCTAGGGACGAGTTCTACGAGGAGCGATCATCATATGTTGAGGAAATCTATGATGCGACAAATTATATTCGCCACATACTCTGATCTTTGTTCACTTCGAAGATGATTGATAAGGCCTCTCAACTATCGGTAGTGTCCCATACCATGGCGGAAAGACCACCCAATTATTTGATCATTGTTGAGGCCTTCATAACTTCCTTCGAATAGGACATTTGGAACACCATCAGGAGTTGTTCCTACCTCTAGCAAAATCACCAAACATTGGGAGTCCCTTCCCATATTGTGATACCAAACGCATTATATCTCGCCATCTATTCGAGGAAGAATATGTCATTCTTGAAGATCTTTATCTCGATTACATCGTCTTGAAGGTTGTGACAATCGCAATGTCTCAGTGAATAAAGGCTCTTGAGTCGAATCTGCTGGTTGTTGGTTCTCCATCTCTTGAGTATCACAACTACAAAGAAGCTATGAACAAAGATTGAAAGTAGAATGTTATCTTGTCTAGATGTTGTTTCTTTTATAAAGAAGGTTTTCATCTTGATTTTGATGGATGTCGTCGATGA